AATTAGCCGGGCATGGTGGCACATGCCTGTAGTCCCAGCTACTCGGGGGTATATTGGGTATATTGGGGAAAAGGTAAATTAAAATAGATTGATTTCTAGAAGAGAGAAAACTTACAGAGTTGGTAATTGGACTGACTGATGAAAAATGAGCTACATCAAGGTTGAAAAGATTCAAGAGTAATTCATTCATATGGGATTAATTAAGAAATTTCCCTGAATGAACAAGCTGTGCATAGGAGTTCAGGTGAAGAAGTTGAGAAAGAAGGACATTAGAGATGGAAGAATGGAAGTAATTCCTGGATATTGTCCTGGAGTATTTATATTTAAAAGGAAATGTTTTCTAAGGATTTGGGAAAAGTTCACAAGCAGCATTCTCAATTTAAAATATATATATTTTAAAATTAGGAAAATCATTATGAAAATAATATATGCATATAATAGAAAATTATAAAATACAGAAATATAACAAAAAAAGACTACTTTGATTTGGACTACCCTGAGACAACTAGGAAATGTTTTCTTTTTATAAAGACAAGGTCACAGAATATAGATAATTTTTATCTTATTCTTGTCTCTTAATATAACATAAGCCATTCCTAATATTAATAAAAGGATTTTTGAACAGGATTTTTAATGCTATATGATCTGCCATGAGAGCGACCCACAATTTTGACATGATAAATTAAAATATTCACCTTGCTAATTTCAAGGGAGAATCTGAAACATTTGAGTCCCTGTCCTCAGAAAACTTAAAAAAATCTAATAGAGGAGGATTTAGCTGCACTGGGGACAGTATACTTAGTATAAATGAGTATTTAGTAAGTGATAAATGAGTGGTTCAGAACATTGTGGAAATAAGGTAAGTTATGAAGGAGAGAAAGATTCTCAGCTGGGTTGTGAAGGGTGGATTGAATTTGGCTGAGCACAGTAGAAAGGCATTAAAGATTGAGGACACAATTTATACAAGAGCAGAAAATGCCAAACATGTTTCAGAAAAAAGAAGTAGATTAGAGTAGTTGGACAAGGGGTTTATGTAGGGAGGAATCCAAGTTGGAAGAGTACTTTGGGGCCAAATATGGAGTCCTGCGAATGCTAACCAAGTTTACACTGTGCCCTAGAAGTCATTAGTTACTGTACGTATTTTGGTCCATGACAGAGTTTTGCTGATCTGCTTTGAACTGAGTGAGAAAGATAAAGGCAATGTAATGGATTTTTCATAATTCAAGATTTTACTCACAAAAGGATTATTCTCTATTCTGAAATAAAACCCTTCCTGTATTTTAAATGTTAAAAATGTTCTTTTATGAAACAATCATTACAGGAGTTTGTTTTTCTTTCCTTTGGTTCTCTCTTTATTGGTCAATAACATTGGTAGATCATTACACATTTTTGAGTTGGGAAATACAAGCATGAAGAGAGCATAGAAAAATAAATCTTGTGGAATTTTGCAAATTCTACTTTAGGTATTAGATAAAGATTTAAACTGGAGAGTGGACTTTGGGAATGAAGGGAGGAGATGGGTGGATGCAAGACAAAGAAGAATAAGGAAGAATTGTGGTGTTAATGGGTAAGAAGAGGAGGCCATCACTGGTGTTTGGGAGATAATGAAGTTAAATGCACTAAACCAGGACAGAGTAAATCCTAGGCTATCCCTAGGATCCACTTTAGCGTAAGAATTTAAAGACTGCTTCAGAGTCTGATTCTTTAGATGAGATGCTAGGCTTGTCTAAGCTTCAGTTTCTTAATATGTAAAATTTAACTAAATACTTTTTAGCTAAGAAAAGGTTATTTGACGTTTAAATGAGATTAATGCACGTATAGCACTTAACACACGACCTGACTCGGAAGTGCTCAGTAAATACTGACTACAATATGCTTTGTTTTCTTTAGAGATGTTGCTAGTTTCTTTTAAAAATAGTCTTTTACCTTGGTCGTCATTGGGAGATTGGGAGAGAAAAAAGGGCTCAGATATAGATTTGGAAGTAATCTTTATGGAATCTCAAGAAACAGGATTTGGTCTCTGTTGACGAATGTTGGAAAAGTGAAGGACAGTGTAGACCGGATGAATCTGCTAGAGAGGAGGTTACTGGTAGAGTTGAGAATGTAGTTACCCCAGTGTAGTATGGATAGAAGTCAGACTGCAAGGGGTGCAGGCATACTGGGTTTGTGCAGTAATGGAGGCAGTGTCCGTACTTGCAAAACCTTGCCAGTGAGGCCCTGTACATTTTGTTTATTTTTCTAGCCAAATGCCTTTTATAATGTGTGTGTATGTTTAGGGATGTACTACCTAATTGGTTAATTAGTTAATAAATGCTTTGATGAAAACTACTCCGAAGAGCTCTGTTATAAATTAAATAATTATTTGAATAAATGTACTGAGTGAAATAGTACCATAGGCAATAGACTGCTTAACTTGAATAACAGATTTTTAAAAATCAGGCTATTAGATCACTTAAAAAAATTTCTTTTCTTGTATGATTAAGGGATCAAAGATTGAAGGAAAATGACCAAATATTGGCCATTAATCATATACCACTGGATCAGAACATTTCCCATCAGCAAGCAATTGCATTATTACAACAAACCACTGGATCTTTACGTCTGGTTGTGGCCAGGGAACCAGTCCACACAAAAAGCAGCACTTCTACCAGCCTAACTGATACAACTCTTCCTGAAACAGTGAGTTGCAAATGGAAAAATACTTAATTTTGAATTATACCATTGATTGTGAAGAGTATAAAGACATTCAGAAGGTGTCATTTTACTGATCATAGTTCCAGAAAGATGATTATATCTCCAAATGCAGCATTAGCAATATTGAAACAAGACGTTTCTGGAGTTTTTTTTTTTTTTTTTGGTCTTTTCAATGTCCTGTGGGTCTCCTTATTTAAGATTATTATTTAATATAGAGGCCAAGTTGAAGTATTAGGTGTAATTTATTTGGTAATGAAAAGAGTCTTGTGTTCCTTGGTGATGTAGCCAGTTAATTAATTGAGAGTTTTTATTAGAGACTATTGAATGTTTTCAGTAAGATTTGGTTATTCAAAAACATTTTTGTAAATTATAATGGAGGTTTATGACTAGATTATTGATACTATAAAATTATAGCAGTTTTCTTTCCATGTAAGGATATATACTGAACAATTTATAAGAATAAAAGTATATGTCTCTTTTGGGACTCCTTATACTTTTTGTTGTGTAACATTTTACAGATTTTGGCCTGCATCTTCAGAATGCAAGCTAATACATCTTATTTTCTTATAACACTAAGTGCTGGCTGATTAATTTTTATTCATTGGGACAAAAGAAAAAATAGACTGGGTACAGTACAAGGTCACAACACAAATTAATGTATAGGCATTTCCCCTGTTGTAATCAGCAATATTTATACAGTACAATTTACATAATAAATACAGTGAACAAAGTGGGACATTGTTTTAGCATATAAAGAACAGGGGCTTTAGAGCCAGGTTTCAGTGGATTTGAGTCCATTTCTACTACTTCCTAGCTGTGCCACATCGGCAGCTTCCCTTACTTCTGCACCTTGGTATCTTTATCTGTTACTTGGAACTTATAATGGTATCTAGTTCTCAGAGGGATTGTGAGATGTGAACAAGAAGGCACATGAAGGCTAAGCACAGTGCCCGGTAAATGCTCTGTGAATATTAGCTGCTATCATTAATTCAGGCATATTAAATTAGTAAACATCATTGCTTCCCAGATACTAGATACTGTTCCAGACCTGAGTTAATTAAATAATGCCAATATTCTTGTTTATTTTAACAATGCATAGTAACTTTCCAATGGAGTATACTAGACAAACTAAGTAATGAGTATACCCTAATGATCTTGAGAGGGAGGATTTTGTTCTACAGCTGGATTATGTGAATATAATGCACGTTTCTAGTAGAAGCCTGCCAGTTAGCGGGAAAGCACTTACGTCTTTTAGTCTGATTTATATAATCCTGTTGCTGTATCTTCAGTTGGGCCTGCCTTTCCTCTCCCTCATGAGAGTCTCCTAAATTAGTCTCTTCACCTCATGTCCTTCTCACCATTTCATTCTTCACATGTCTGCCAGATTAATTTTCCCAACCGACTGCTTTGTTCCTGCCATTCCCTCTTCTAAAACCTTCAGTGATTCCCACTTGCTTATCCAGTGGAACCCAATCTTCTGGCTGTATCTTTCACTCACTCTGTTATCTGGCCTAGTTTTGGTCTTGTATTTCCCTTTTGCTTGGATGTCTTCCTTCTTGGTAGTGCAACTTAAATACCCTTTTTCCTTGAAGTTTTCCATATTTCTTCATTGGATTTGACTTCTTGCACTTTCCCTCTCCCCTAAAATCTTTATAACATTTTGTGAATTCAAGCAAACACATATTTATTGGTTCCTACTATGGGCAGGGCACTGTGCTAGATATTAGGCATAGACTGGGAAATGAGAAGTGTTTCTCGTCCTCTTTGAACTGCAGTGTCTTATGATCCAGTATTTGACCTTGTGTTTTAATTTGTGTTTTAGTTTCTCTCTCTACTGGATTGTAAAATCATTAAGGGCAGTGACCATATGATTATCTCTCTATATATATCTTAGTATCCATAAGATTGCCTTGATTAACTGTATGAATGCCATTTGTTACAAATCTGTTACTTTAGTAATTACTGTGTTGGAAAGCTCAGAATCTGTGTTTTACTGACACTGTGGCTCTTACTTGCAATTAATTTGTAGGTTTGTTGGGGCCATATTGAAGATGTTGAGCTCGTTAATGATGGTTCTGGATTAGGTTTTGGAATAGTTGGAGGAAAATCAAGTGGCGTGGTTGTGAGGACTATAGTTCCTGGAGGATTAGCAGATCGCGTAAGTTGACCTTCGTTGTTATCATTTTAGTTTTATGAAATTTAAATTGTATGGCTTAAAATGTAATTTTATAACATGAGTTACTGGGATATTTGACTCAATAGCTTAAAAATGGTTTATTCCATAAGTGTTAATATATATTCTGCTTCATTTTAAACCGTTCCTATGTCAACATTTTTGGGGTTTTTTTTGCCTTTAATTGATAGACTTCTTGAGTCCATCAGAGGACAGTATTTTTTTATTGAAAAGCATTGTTATGAGTATTGCGTTTTGAACATCTGTATTACTCTCCTCCAGTGTGTCTTTCAATGGCCTAAATGTTAAAATCAGAAGGTACAATGACTATAAACATTTGTCCCAATACGGTACATGGTAAGTTTCACTTGAATTAAAGTTTATGGTGTTATAAATTAAATGACTACCTTTTATTACTTAGCAGCATTAAACTGAAAGTGGCCCACTTAAAAACTTAGCAACAGTTTCTGCTTAGTATTACTTTGAAGAAATATTAGTACTACATTTAGTTTTTAGAAATTAGTTTAGAAATTTGATTATGAAGCCACTTACTAATAAGCCCAAATTATGTAGAATGTCCATGATAGATCAGAAATAACTTTATTCTTATAATCAGAATAATATGCAAAATTTCACTGATTATTGTCCAGTTACATGTAAATTTATCCCATCTAATAATAGACATCATAAGTAAAAAATGAACTTGTTGGGCAAATACAGCTTTGAGGCAAGTTCCGCAGCTCCTCAT